TAACAGTGAGCTAACAACGAGCTAACAGTGAGCTAACAACGAGCTAACAGTGAGCTAACATTGAGCTAACAACGAGCTAACATTGAGCTAACAACGAGCTAACAGTGAGCTAACAACAATCTAAGAAGCTAACTGGTGAGTCACTAGTTGTGACTGGAACCGGTCTGTTTGCTTCCAGCTCAGAGAAAACTCGGACTATGATAAGCTCAGCGACATGGTGAAGTACCTGGACCTGGACCTGCACTTTGGGACTCAGCGCCGACCCAGTGAGTGATTCTGGACCAACCCAGCCGTCTTTTCAAAATAAAGCGTCACATGGCGATTTCCTGTCAATAATCACCTCCTTCATTTGTTTTTCATTCTGCTGATCTGCATCTCGGCTTACTGAGGATGTTTGTCACGCTGCTGCGCCCGTTCTCCATGCGGCACCATTAACCTCAGACTGTCATGTCTGCCGTCAGCTGCTGAGCTCTGCTCAGGTTTTCACAACCTTCCAGTATTTTATTTCATTTTCAGATGATGGACCAAAACAAAGCAGTGCATTATTTTGTGAGGCAAAAAGTGAAGAATTCATAGTTTTTAAATTCAGTGGAACTGTTTCCGTTGTTCCACTCGGCGTTGGTCTGTAGTTTGTTGACCCGCATCATGTCGGAAAGGTCAAAGGGTATGAAAACCTCAGCAGGGCGCTTCATTCTTCAGGCTCTGCCAGCGACAGAGGAGCAAACCGATCGTCTGTCATGGCAGAGCTGCATTGATGCTAACTGAGCTGTTCGGACCTCCTGGTGCCTGGAGAACCAGCATTGACTCTCTGTCTGTTAAAATGGCCAGTTTCTCCTACAGAACCAGCATTCCTGCCAGAGAACCTGAAGAAGAAAGACGTGGTGGAGATCCTGTCCCACAAGAAGGCCTACAACGCCTGTAAGAGCCTCAGCAAACAGACCAACCATGAATGAGACGACGCTAACATGATCAGAAACTTCTAACCAACCCGACCTCAAGGAGCAGCTAATAAAACTAGCTGTCTTCATTCTGCAGCCCATTTGCTGCAGGTTTCATCCTGGTTGATGTGCAGTTCGTTCTGTTCAGAACAGAACCAGCTCAAACTTCCCTAACCACCAGCAGGGTTAGCGTTAGCATGGAGCAGGACAGTACGGCAAACGTTCGGCAAACACACTAATGATGCAAACTTTAAAAGTCAAACAATAAAACAAAAAAACTGAGAAAAAGCTGCAAGTAGCAAAAACAGCAAATATAAAAAACTGGCTCCTCCACATGAGGCCTCCAGGCCACCAGGGGGAGTCGACCTGCGGACCAGATGGCTGCAGACTCAGTGAGACAGGATGTCCACTTCATATCTTTTCAAACATTCTTTTACAACATTAAACAACATCAGGTCCTCCAGACTCCCCCTAGTGGCCTGGAGGACCGATAGGTGAATCGAGTTTGGAGTTTTTATGCAGTTAGCAGCTTTTCCCTTCTAGTTTCTGTGGTTGCAGCGTTTTTCTGTTGCTTTTGATTTTGTGTTTTGGAATTTGCATCATTTTGTGTTTTCTAAACTCAATATTTAGGTACCAAGCAGAAATATTTTTAGAACTATTTAATTGGTTAGCTAAATATTTAACTACTACCTAAATATGTAGTTTGAAATTGTGACATTTATGTAAATAAATAAATATAATTTTTTTCCTCTAAAAACCTAAATTATTTCTGTAACTTTATAAACATCGACCCATAATCTGTCACATCCATCCTGTTAATGAAAGTTTACATTAAATTTAATTTGCATCCAACAGAAACGTAGAACTTTACCTAGAAATCCTCAAACTGAAGGCTGAAGGCGTCAGCAGCTTTTTACAGGAAGTCTGTTACTGATGAGCTAATCCACCTCAGCAGCCAATCAGGACGCAGCAGATTTGACCTCTGTGCTGACCCTGCAGCCATCCTCATGGCCCACCTGAAGCTGTCTCCTGACGAGCTGCGCCAGGTTCTGTTGGACCTGAGCACGGACCGGCTGGAACCGGCCCACATCAAGCAGCTGCTGCTCTACGCGCCCGACCAGGACGAGGTCCAGCAGTACCAGCGCTTCCAGCAGGACCCGACTAAGCTCAGCGAGCCGGACCAGTTCATCTTCCAGGTACCGCGCCGACGGCCCACCGGGCCCGGGCAGAACCGACCCGCACACTGACCGCCGGCCCGTTTCAGATGCTGACGGTTCCGGAGTACAAGACCCGGCTGCGCAGCCTCCTGTTCAAAACCACGCTGCAGGAGCGGGCCGAGGAGATGAAGGCGGCCTTTGACTATATCTACAAGGCCTCAGTGGAGCTGAAGAGCAGCAGGAAGCTGGCCAAGATCCTGGAGGTGGGTCAGTACCGGATGGTTCTGCTGGTTCTGATTGGTTCTGATTGGTTCTGTTTGCGGCCCACAGTTTGTCCTGGCGATGGGGAACTACCTGAACAACGGTCAGCCTAAGAGCCACAGAACGACGAGCTTCAAGATCAACTTCCTGACGGAGGTCAGACTGTAACCATAGCAACAGTTTGGCTTGGTCGGCCAGTTGTCAGAGAGAGGGGGAGACAATATTCAGATTTCTGACTAAATATTTATGAATGAATGAATAAAATGACGAGATCCAAATTTTTCTAGCTAAATAATCCCAGTCATTTTAATAACTACATATTTCATAGTTAAGCACGACGAAGACTGTCGATGGAAAATCCACGTTTCTTCACATTCTGGCCAAGTCGCTGAGTCAGCACTTCCCTGAGCTGCTGAGCTTCCCCAGAGAGCTGCTGACGGTTCCTCTGGCCGCTAAAGGTACGCCGGCTGCCACTTCCTGCAGGTCAGTATGACCCATCAGCAGCTGCTCAGTAGCGCCCCCTGTCGCTGTTCTGCTCCAGTCAACCAGAGGGCCGTCACCACGGAGCTGAGCGAGCTGCACGCCGCGGCCCAGGACATCCGGACGGCCTGCCAGAAGCTGCCGGCTTCGGCCGACGATCACTTCGCTTCCGTTATGAGTGTGAGCAAAAACAAAGATGATTCATTCATTCATTCATTCATTCATTCATTCATTCAACTTCATCCATTCATTCATCCATTCATTCATCCATTCATTTATTCATCCATCCAACTTCATTCATTCATTAATTCATTCATTCATTCATTCATTCATTCATTCATTCATCCATCCATTCAACTTCATCCATTCATTCATCCATTCATTCATTTATTCATCCATCCAACTTCATTCATTCATTCATTCATTCATTCATCCATCCATCCAACTTCATCCATTCATTCATCCAT